AGGATCTGGCCTTCTAAAGAGCAGTCGGGGTTGATCTCTTCTAGGACTGACCGGTTTGAACGCCTTGCAGTCCAAGGGACTCGCAGGAGTCTTCTCCAGCACCATAGTTCAAAGGCCTCAATTCTTTTGCACTCAGCCTTTCTTATGGTCCAACTTTCACAGCCATACATTGCAACTGGGAAAACCATGGCCTGGACTATACGCACTTTTGTTGGCAGGGTGATGTCTCTGCTTTTTAGTATGCTGTCTAGATTTGCCATAGCTTTCCTCCCCAGGAGCAAGCGTCTTTTAATTTCTTGGCTGCAGTCCCCATCTGAGGTGATCTTGGAGCCCAGAAAAATAAAATCTGTCACTACCTCCATTTCTTCCCCATCTATTTGCCAGGAATTGAGAGGGCCGGATGCCATGATTTTGGTTTTCTTAATGTTGAGTTTCAAGCCAACTTTTGCACTCTCCTTCTTCACCCGCATCAAGAGGCTCTTTAGTTCCTCTTCACTTTCTGCCATTAGAGTGGTATCATCTGCATATCTTAGGTTGTTGATATTTCTCCCGGCAATCTTAATTCCAACTTTTGATTCATCTAGCCCTGCCTTTCTCATGATGTGCTCTGCATATAAGTTAAATAGGCAGGGTGACAGTATACAGCCTTGCCGGACTCCTTTTCCAATTTTGAACCAATCAGTGGTTCCGTGTTCGGTTCTCACTGTTGCTTCTTGACCCGCATATAGGTTTCTCAAGAGACAAATGAGATGGTCTGGTACTCCCATCTCTTTAAGAACTTGCCACAATTTGTTGTGATCCACACAATCAAAGGCTTTTGCATAGTCAATGAAGCAGAAGTAGATGTTTTTCTGGAACTCCCTAGCTTTCTCCATGATCCAGCGTATGTTGGCAATTTGATCTCTAGTTCCTCTGCCTCTTCGAAATCCTGCCTGTACTTCTGGTAGTTCTCGATCCACATACTGCTGGAGTCTAGCTTGTAGGATTTTAAGCATAACTTTACTAGCATGTGAAATGAGTGCAATGGTGCGATAGTTTGAACATTCTTTGGCATTGCCTTTCTTTGGAATTGGAATGTAAACTGACCTTTTCCAATCCTGTGGCCACTGTTGAGTTTTCCAAATTTGCTGGCAAATTGAGTGTAGCACTTTTACTGCATCGTCTTTTAAGATTTTGAATAGCTCAGCTGGAATACTGTCACCTCCACTAGCTTTGTTGTTGCTCAGATTTTCTAAGGCCCATTTCACTTCACATCTAGGATGTCTGGTTCGAGGTCAGTGACCATCTCATTGTGGTTATCTGGGATGTTAAGCTCATTCTTGTATAGTTCCTCTGTGTAGTTTTGCCATCTCTTCTTAATCTCTTCTGCCTCTGTTAGGTCTCTGCCATTTTGGTCCTTTATCATGCCCATCTTTGCATGAAACGTTCCCTTCATATCTCCAATTTTCTTGAAGAGATCTCTGGTCCTCCCTATTCTGTTGTTTTCTTCTATTTCTTTGCACTGTTCATTTAAGAAGGCATTCTTATCTCTTCTAGCTATTCTCTGGAATTCTGTATTCAATTGGGTGTATCTTTCTCTTTCTCCTTTGCCTTTCGCTTCCCTTCTTTCCTCAGCTATTTGCAAAGCTTCCTCAGACAGCCATTTTGCTTTCTTGCATTTCTTTTTCTTTGGGATGGTTTTAGTTGCTACCTCTTGTACAATGTTGCGAACTTCCATCCATAGTTCTTCAGGCACTCTGTCTATCAGATCCAGTTCCTTAAATCTATTTGTCACCTCTACTGTATATTCATCAGGAATATGATTTAGTTCATACCTGAGTGGCCTAGTGCTTTTCCCTACTTTTTTCAATTTAAGCCTAAATTTTGCAACGAGAAGCTCATGATCTGAGCCACAGTCAGCTCCTGGTCTTGTTTTTACTGACTGTATAGAGCTTCTCCATCTTTGGCTGCAGAGCACATAGTCAATCTGATTTCTATGTTGACCGTCTGGTGATGTCCATGTGTAGAGCCGTCTCTTGGGTTGTTGGAAAAGAGTGTTTGTTATGACCATCGTATTCTCTTGACAAAATTCTATTAGCCTGTGCCCTGCTTCATTTTGTACTCCAAGGCCAAACTTGCCTGTTATTCCGGTTATCTTTTGGCTTCCTACCTTAGCATTCCAATCCCCCATGATGATAAGGACATCATTTTTTGGTGTTAATTCTATAAGGTCCTGTAGGGCTTCATAGAACCGGTCAATTTCATCCTCTTCAGCAGCAGTGGTTGGGGCATAGATTTGGACTACTGTGATATTGAATGGTTTGCCTTGGATTCGAATTGAGATCATTCTGTCATTTTGGGGATTGTATCCCAGTATTGCTTTTCCTATTCTTTTATTGACTATGAAGGCTACTCCATTTCTTCTGAGGGATTCTTGCCCACAGTAGTATACCTGATGGTCATCTGAGTTAAATTCACCCATTCCTGTCCATTTTAGTTCGCTGATTCCTAAGATGTCGATGTTCAGTCTTGTCATCTCTTTTTTGACTACGTCTAGCTTGCCTTGATTCATGGATCTTACATTCCAGGTTCCTATGGAGAAAAAATCTTTACAGCATCGGACTTTCCTTTCACCACCAGATATATCCACAGCTGAGCGTCCTTTCGGCTTTGGCCCAGTCGCTTCATTCTTTCTGGCGCTACTAGTACTAGCCCTCTGCTCTTCCCCAGTAGCATATTGGACACCTTCCGACCTGAGGGGCTCATCTTCCAGCGTCATATCTTTTTGCCTTTTAGTACTGTCCATGGGGTTTTCATGGCAAAGATACTGGAGTGGTTTGCCATTTCCTTCTCCAGTGGATCACATTTTGTCAGAACTCTCTGCTATAACCTGTCCGTCTTGGGTGGCCCTGCACTGCATAGCTTATAGCTTCATTGAGTTACGCAAGCCCCTTCGCCACGACAAGGCAGTAATCCATCAAGGGGTATGAATGAATATCAAATATTATAGAGAATTGTTTTATAGGTTATGGAGTTAAAGGTTAATTATGATATTTTTTTTCTCCTTTTTCTCTTTTTTTCTTTTTTTTTAAATTATTATAATTTTCTTTTCTTTTTAACCCTGTATTCTGCTCTGGGAAGTGGAGGGAGGGGGGTTGGGGGTGGGAGGGAGGGTAAGGGGGGGTTTCTATTTTAAAATTTTATTGTATTTTTATAAATGATTGTATGTTTTAAAAAAAATAAAAAAATTTCGATGAAAAAAAAAAAGAAGGGGAAGAGGCTTCTAGCCAGAGGGAAAAATGTTACCCAGTCACATCTGGAAGGCCGCAGGACCCCCAACACTTCTGTACGTTAAAGAGGGGCTTGGTGGGGGCACAAGGGAGTCAAGGAGGGGCTGAAGAAAGAGCTCACATTTGGGGAAAGGAGATGGAAAGGGGGGGTCTTTGGAGGGTGACCCCAGCAGGCAGCAACATGGCTGCATTGGCATTCAGCTCCTATTTCCCCCAGGGTGGCCCACTTTGGTGTGAAGGAAGACAGACAGCCCTGATCCTGAGTGGGGAGGGAAGTCCCAAGTCTGAAATCTCCCAGTGGGGCTTTTTGCCTAAAGCCAAGTTCTCCCCCAGGAAAGATTTCCATTTTGGGCCTCCCGGGTCAGAGAGAGAAGCAGAGAACTGCAGCTGGTTCCATCTGTCTCTGCCCAAAGTCTCCCTGGAGGATTCGGCCAAAGAGCAGAGCGGAAACTTTGAGAATAATAATAATAATAATAATAATAATAATAATAATAATAATAATAATAATAATAATTCTCCTCTCACCAGAGATTCAACTAGTTCTGGGACTCAGAGTTTGTTGGGCCCTTCTCTGGAGAGGAATGGAAGGGGGATAATCCCCAGAGGATTCAAAATGACAGGGCAGAGCTAGAATTAAATCTTTCAGCAAGAATTGAGAGGTTGGGAAGCTCCAGGCTTGAAACTGGCCCCAGAGGGAATACACGGCACCTGTGGCTGAAGAAAAAGAAATCGGATATTTGTGGGCACAGCCGTTAAAGAGAAAACCCCAGGGACGACTTCATGCCTGAACATGTCACGGAACTGGAATAGCTTCCTACTGAGTTAAAAACAAAGTTTACTTTATTTTGAAAGTTAATGCTGAATATAAAAAGACTGATGCAATAGTGAGACTAGGATAAAATAAAATAAATAAATCTGCTAGTTAAAAACTAGTCATCAAAACTTGATATAGTTTAAAAAAAATCACACCCATGTACAGACAGTGAGAGAGAGAGAAATGAGAGGAATAAAGGATGCCTTTCACCCCAAGTAAGGAAGAGAGGGAGGGGAAGGACCCATGTTCCACTGCCACTCCCTTCCACACAGGGGGCCCTGAGGGGGGAAAGCAAAGCCCAGACGTGTCACGTTGCCCATAGAAAAGGCTCAGGAAGGAGGAGGGGAACTGGGGGAACCCTTCACTCCCCCCATTCTGGGAAGAGACTAGGGTGGATGATGGGCTTTGGAGTTGCATTTCAGGGGGAGAGGCAGCCAAGGGGGGTTTGTGAGGCTCCGGTTCCCCTTCGTGTCTTTCCAGGAAAGGCTCCTGGGGGGGAGAAGCCATGCAGGGCCTGGGTCTCCCAAGGGGGATCCGGCTTTGCTGGGGAGGGAAAGGCCGGGGGGGTCTCCCTGGAGGGGCCCTCTGGGGCTCTGAGGAAGGGGCATCCTGGGGGTCCCTCCTGGCCCCCAAAGTCCCTCCGGCCGGGCTCTCCTGGGCAGCCCTGCCCCCCCCTTGCCCAAGCCCCCCCCGGAGGAGAAGCCCTCCATTGCAGGGATTTCTGGGTGGGGGGAAAGGCCCTTCCAGGACTCCGGCCTCCCCTCCCTCTGCATCTCTGGCAGTTTCTGCCTCTTTCTCATCACAGGAAAAACTCTCTAATTCTCTCTCCTTATTGGACGTTTTCCTCTCCCCCCCCCCTTTGTCTTTGCTCCTTCAGCCTCTTCTCCAGGAGTCTGATTGGTGGCTGAGCTCCCAGGCAACCCTTGTCTCCTCCCTCCTGCCTGATTGGCTGCTGCTGGGTTGCTACGATGACAGGGGCAGGCCAGGACTAGAGGCAGCCACTAGGGAGAGAGAGGGGCGGGGCTTTTGTTTTGGCTCAGAACTGGAGGAGTTGAAGGCGAAATCTTCTCTTTGAGGAAACTCTGATCAGATGCAGCCCAGAGTGGGAGAAAATGAAAGAGTATTTAAATATATATCTATATCTATATATCTCTATCTCTCTATATCTATCTATATATCTATATTTCTCTACCTCTATCTATATATATCTGTATCTATATCATCTCTATCTATCTCTATATATCTATATATTTCTATATCTCTATCTCTTATATCTCTATCTATATCTATCTATATCTATATCTCTATATTTAAAATGAAGGAAAAATTCAAGACTTTAACAGAAGAAAAATATGAAATGGAAACTAAAAGCAGATAAAAAGGAGGAAGATGCAGTGAAATTGGATAGAATAGAAGAGAGCTGGGAGGGACCTTGGAGGTCATCTAGTCCAGCCCCCTGGCTCAGGCAGGAGACCCTATACTCTTTCAGACAAATGGCTGTCCAGTCTCTTCTTAAAAACTTCCATGTTGGAGCATTCACAGCTTCTGGAGGCAGGTGGTTCCACTGATTAATTGTTCTAACTGTCAGGAAATTTCTCCTGAGTTCCAGGTTGCTTCTCTCCTTGGTTCGTTTCCATCCGTTGCTTCTTGTCCTTCCAGGTTCTTTGGAGAACAGCTTGACTCCCTCTTCTTTGGGGCAGCCCCTGAGACAAACCCCTGACAGTAAAGGAAATAGAGTGGATGAAGAGCTTATAGAAATTAGAGAGCTGAAATAGAAAACACTTTGTATTAAGATTAATTTTGGTATTAGTTGAAAGCACTTATATTTTACCATTCATTTTTGAACCAATGTGGAAGCTTTCCTTGTGTGAAAGGAAAATGTCTTCCCAGCCACTGTGGAGAGAATAACAGAATAACAGAGTTGAAAGGGACCCTGGAGGTCATCTAGTCCAACCCCCTGCTCAGGCAGGAGACCTTATGCCCTTTCAGACAAATGGCTGTCCAGTCCCTTCATGCTATGGAAGGATTGGGGCTCTTGGGGCCTTGCAGATGTAGTTCAGTAACGACTCTCCCTCTGGCTGGAAGCTGGAGCCATGGGGGGTCCCACAGAATAGCAAGAGGGGCACCACTAGGCACCCCAGCCATGGTGGTTAGCAATTATGATTCTACTACACAATTTGTGGTAGCTCTGTGGGTGTCACTCTAACACTTGTTGTTCTGAGCCAAACATTATTTGAGACCTTTTCTTATGAATGGGATTCCTTTCCTATAGAAATTGTCCCTCTTCTGAATTCATTTTTCAGGAATGTCATTCAATGTATTTTAATTTAATGTGTCTCAAGGAATGTAAATGTTGATACTCCATAGCTTGGGCTGATATGTGCAAAACAGAGAAAAAATGAATTATTGTTAGTACTCATGATATGAAAGGCCATTCAACAGATTATGATGGATGCCCTAAAATTATATACAAAACTCTTTCAAAGTTATGACGTCTGCAATGCCCTTGCGGTCATTTGCCCTTCAGACTGACCAGGGGGATGCTGCAGTGCCCTCCATCTCTCCCCCTCCAATCTCTCCCCCAACAGGACCCTGCAGTGCTTGGACCTGATGCCCATGACTGCCGGAAGTGGCCACCATTTTGAATACTCCGACGAGTCCTTGTAGAAATGGCGGCTGCTTTTGAAGCTTTCCACCCTGATCCTCAGGCTGTTGGGAGACTGCAAAGCTCTCCTGGCTCTTGCTAGGTTTGGGAAACCGGACACGGCATGCTCCCTCCCCTCTGGGCACAACTAGGTTTTGGGGCGACATGGCAGGTAACATCATGGACAAGAGAAGCCATGTTACACATCCACTAGGCATTCAGAAAGAACAGCCGGTACCTGGAGCCACCAAAGATCTGGTAGGCAGGCACTGAGACTGGAAGCTGAGGACAATACAGTGGAACAACATTCAAATGATGAACTTGGGATATTGGTCACCCTGTGCTCCTCATTGTAAGGGTGGACCTGCCCATCCCATCAGCTCCCCCTGTCACTCAACCCCCCAGTTCTCCCTTCTAGGCCAAGCTGTATATATTAACATCCCCCCTCCAGGTAAGAAAAATAATCAACAATCGAACAAGTTAAAGCAGAACACAGGGACTCCGAACTATAAGCACATGGAAGTCTTCTAGGGAGGACAAACAAAGCCTCAGAGATGGGAATGTCACATGTTCTGCAAAACACCAAGTGCATCTACGCAACCAGAGGAACTGCCACCAGGTCCCCTTAAACCATCTTCCTAGTGGATGCGGCAAGAAATCAGATCACATGGTCCAATGCACCGTGGGTGCTGCCACCATCTCAACTGCAGACCTAACAGTTTTATTTAAACCAAGAACTATCAAAATTTAATGGCTCTCATTGTATCAGTATGGAAAGACAATACAGAAAGTGTCAAGGAAACTAAAACTTCTACCCACTCTACAATTTTCTCTCTGTGTGCCCGTGGTGCTATCCCAGGCTGTCACTTTCCTGCCTCTTAGCCAGCTGTCATGCATAAAATGATGTTTCTAGAAGAGATGGCAAATGAAGAAATTTAAAATAAAATTGTTGTGGGAGAAAAACTAGAAGAGAAGTAGGCAAACAGCAAGCAATCAAATCGGTTTGAAGAGCTCCAAATTTCTTGTAGACTTTGAATTTAGCAAAGCTAAACCTTGACCTGAAGATCCCCAAACTTTTCCTTTTATCTCTTTTAGGAAATAATTCATGTTGTGGATGTTATTTTTTCCCCTTTTTTGGCCAGCCCATGCCTTCTTCCAGGTGGGTGGAAAGCTGCCCTGCTGGGTTCATGAAGGTGCCTCAGGAAGGGAAGCTCATCTGCTGCTACAATTGTTGTCCATGTGCAGAAGGATCCATCTCCACCACGGAAGGTGGGTGACAGCAGGAGAAAGGGGCAGACTTTGGGGAGGACCATAGATCTCCATGACCATGCATTTCGAAAGGCTTGGCCAGAGTGGGTCCCACCTCTTTGAGTCTTGATCACGGCAAATATTTATGTCATAGTGAACTATTAGAAACGCTATTGGGGATTAATCTGGTATATAGGTCAAGCAAGCAGGCATAGAGATCATGGATAAAGATACAAGATAAATGAGGGTTGGGTAAGGTGAGGGAGATGACATCTCTTGCTCTTTACCTTTTATAATACAACTTCCAAGTTTCAAATTACTATTTACTTCATTGCTCTGAATATGAGACTTTCTGGATTTCAGAATATAATGATGGGACTTTGATTGGATTTTTGTAGGAGGATTGATCAGATTCTTTGCAAGTGTCTATGTCTGAAGGTATTTTGGGCAGCCACAGTTTCAGGTTGTAGCCACCTGCATTTAATCAAAGGATGTATTTCTTTACTAAAGAAGTTTAATAGAATGTCTTGGCTGTTCTCTTCATTCTAACTGATGTGGTGGATGGACTGGGCAGTCTTATGTAATAATCCTTTGACTGCTCCATCTGTTTAGGTGATGCCTTTTTTGGTCAGGCTCAGGTGACTGCTGGGTTTATACTTCCTGAGGCTGACATTGCAGAGACTCTGCTGGAGGCTCCTCTTAAAATAATTTTCAGAATCATGGCCCATGGAGAGGAGAGGAGAGGAGAGGAATCATGTCTTGGGATTGAGCCAAACTTCCTTCTTGATTTTATTGGAAGATGTTCCTTTTTCTGATAATAAAAAAAAAATGAGGAATGTATTTTGATTCCTCATTCCATATATCCAACTCATTTTCAAGGGCCACTCCATTTAACATTTCTTTCTCTGTGGCAAAAGTAATGTTTTATTCATTTCAGCCAGCATAAGTTACATTAAGCAGTGAAAAGGTAACTGCCTTGTTTCCTGGAATCCTTTCTTCTTCCCTTCTTCTCTCAGCAAGTTCATTGATGAAATGGTGACACCAAAAAGAAGAGAAAATAAATATTAAGGGGTTCTAGCTGGAGGGAGATGAAGAATTATACTGAGTTCGCCTACGCCCAGTCATTCACACAAAAAACAAGTTTACCCAAACAATGCATTTTATTAAAGAACATGTTAAAGGGAGAAACTATTCTTGCTCTTTTTCAGATGCAGACAAATGTACCAAATGTCCAGAAGATCAACATCCAAACATCAATCGACTTCACTGTATCCCTAAGATTAAAAATTATCTTTCTTATAATGAAAATCTGGGGATTATCCTGATTTTCATTGCCTTGTTCTTCTCTTTAACCACAGGCTTTGTCTTGTGGATCTTCATTAAATTCATGGAAACACCAATTGTCAAAGCCAACAACTGGGACCTCTCCTACATTCTCCTGGTCTCCCTCCTGCTTTCCCTCTTGACCTCCTTTCTGTTCATTGGCCGGCCAAGGAGAGTGACCTGCCTCCTCCGACAAACGGCCTTCAGCATTGTCTTCTCAGTTGCCATTTCTTCAATCTTGGCCAAAACAATCACAGTGGTCTTAGCCTTCGTGGCCACAAAACCAGGGAATAAAGTGCAGAGATGGTTGGGGAAGAGCTTGGCCAACTCCATTGTCCTTTCTTGTTCTGGTCTCCAAGTTGTCATCTGCAGCATCTGGCTGGGCACTTTCCCCCCATTCCCTGACTCTGACATGCACTCCCAGCCTACAAAGATTATTCTACAATGCAATGAAGGCTCTGTCACCATGTTTTATGTTGCCCTCGGATACATGGGCTTCCTGTCTGCTGTCTGCTTCACGGTGGCTTTTCTGGCCAGGAATCTCCCTGGGGCCTTCAATGAAGCCAAACTGATCTCCTTCAGTATGCTGGTCTTCTGCAGTGTCTGGGGGTCCTTTGTGCCAGCCTACCTGAGCACCAAGGGGAAGTACACTGTGGCTGTGCAGGTCTTCTCCATCTTGGCCTCCAGTGCTGGCCTGCTGGGCTGCATTTTCATCCCCAAGTGCTATATTATTATTTTTAGGCCAGATCTGAACATCAAAGAACATTTGATGTCAAAATAATATAGAAAAAAATGAATTTTACAAATTTATTTTTCAAAAATGACATTTAATAATTTTAATTAACACATTTTGACCATTTAATATTTGTATATTTAACTTATATGCTTCCCCTATTGCCTAAAGATGATTTTAGGCAGTTTACAATCAGTAAAAACAAGACAAAACAATAAAACATTCAAAGAATAAATAGTACCTCTAACATTAGTTTAAAATTGACAAAGATAGGAAGGAAGGGAGCAAGATGCCCATGGGGAGGAGGTATTCCTCTTACTTCTAAAGCTACCCACATTTATTTTCCTATGTATTCCTAAAGAAACCAGTAGCAATACACCCAGTCTCCTTTTTAGTCACAATACTGTTGGTAAAATCAGCTTCCAGATGGACGGGACAGTTTAGTAGGCAAATGGAGACACAACAAGGAATGCGGCCTTGCAACTCATAGCAACCTGTGGGAAGTTTTATCAGAATATTCCTGTAGCAATCCCTGAATATTTCTTCTAACTAAGAATATTTTTCTTTGCACATCTATCAGAAGGGCAAGAAGTAACCTGAGATTGATTTTGCTATCATTTATGAATAGGTATATATATGGATCATTTTCTCCCTTTTTGCATCATTTTCCCCTCCTTTCTGAAATGTATAAATATTTTTACAATTATTTAATAAACCAATAAGCCCAACTCATACATAGATCACACTGGTGGCTTACAGCTTTAAACATAGCACACAAACTCATAAAAACACCATCACATTATGAGTGGGATGTGAGCGTATGACGTGAATATATCTCTTTGTTTGAACGAATTTTATATTATTATTTCAGAGAAGACTCCATTCCCAGTACACACTGTTTAATAAACGTTGCAGTGAGGTCTGATTCTTTGCTTTGGGCTCTTTGTTTTGATTCCAGAGAAACTGGTGTGAGAAGTGGGATTCACAATTTTTGATCTGGGACCAGGGATGACAACAAGACATATGCATATGTTGTAGTGAGCCTGATCCCGTGTCCTTTCCCGCTGACAAAAAAGGGCATAATTAGGAATCAGTTTAAGGGAACAGTTTGTGTCTAAAAGTTTATTTTGCTAGCACCATCACATGAGCTCCAAAGTCCATTTGGCCTATGTCTTGGCAGTTCTTTGCCAGACCCATTCTGGCCATTTTCCCCTGAGTCTTCACAGCTCTTCCGGAAGCTACTGGACAGGCTGCAGGGGTTCAGGACCCCTTGAGGAAATTCTTCTAATCTAAAGGAGAGCTGGCGTAATGTGAAGAAAGAACTAGCCAAGGCAACAGAGAGTCAGAAGAACAAATGGATAAGAAGTGAGCTCCCCAGGGAACATTCCATGGTGGAGATAAAATGTGTCTAACCACCAAGTACCTAAAGTTGATGATTCCCTGTAAAAACAAGGCCCTAAGTACATAGGGTCTTCCCCATCATGAAAATTATTCACCAAGGGACTGGAGAATTGAAACTGCCCAGAATAATGGGTAAAGTGCACCCGGTATTTCACTTCAGCCTGATGAGGCCGGCTCAGGGATCGAAACTCAGACCAGTTGGAAAAGAAGCACTGGGTCCAATAAGGGTGGAGGGAGAAAGACATTACAAGGTTAAGCAAATCATAGACTCTAGAATCCATAAGGGGAAACTACAGTATCTAGTTCAGTGAAGAGGTTATTCAATAGAGGAATAAAAGCTCATAAAATTGGAGCAGAAGACTTAATAAGTAGATTCCAGCCAGAATATCCTCAAAAGCCAGGGAACCTTTACATGGATAATTGAGAGGGGGGGAAATGCCTTAATACGTGTTTGTTGTTTTCCAGGTATATTCCAATTTTTAGGAGCATCTGCATGTCAAGCCTCGAAGCACCTTTTTTCCTGCTGCAACAGATATTGCTTCTCAGCTTGCCAATGAACCCAGGAGGGAGGAAGGAATCAGATTTGAATGCAAACTTCAAAGATTAAGGAAGCAGATCATGGGAATCCAGGACATTTACCAAATGTCTGGCGAAACCCAGAGATACTTTCTCAAAACAATATTGCTGCATTTGATTGGCCCCATGATCCAGAGGGAGGAGAGAAAATACTACGCTTTCACTATGTAGGGCTTCGATGGGGTTTTCCCAGAGCTTCTTTTGCTTTCATACATGTCAAAATGATGTACTCAATAAAGTTTTACATTAAGAGATTGGAATGTCTCAAAGGTGTTTGTTTGGTTGGGATCATCAGCGCAAATATTGACACAGACCTTGGAGGACTTGAAATACCGATTCAGAAAGAATCATGAAGGAGATGAGGTTGAGAACCTCCTAACTAACTTTGAAGATACCTACCAAGCTTAAAGCAGTCCAAAGATTCATATGTGTCCTCTTTTAAAGGGCTGTTGAATCAAAACATTGGATAACCTATGTGCTTAGGAAAAGGAGGGCTAGCAACAATTTAAAAACACAAATATTAATTATTAATTTGTTTTATTATTTGATGATTATGTTGGATTTTAATTTTATTAATCTAATTCTTTATTTCATTGGATTTTAAATAACCATAATAGTCAAACAGGCAAACTAAGCATATAAACCAAGAACAATTGCAATCAATAATTAAATTTCAAGAACCCAAGAACCAATTACATTATCAGTTCCCTACTTTTATCATTAGATCATCCTTAGTATTAAGATCTGGTCTCAGGATGATAATGTAGCACTTGGGGAAGAAGATACAGCCCAAGAGTCCACCACCGGAGGCCAAGATGGAGAAAACCTGCATGGCCACCATGTATTTTCCTTTGGTGCTCAGGTAGGTGGGGAGGAAGGAGACCCAGACACTGCAGAAGACCAGCATGCTGAAGGTGATCAGCTTGGCTTCATTGAAAGCTCCAGGAAGGTTCCTGGCCAGGAAAGCCACAGTGAAGGAAATGGCAGCAAGGAAGCCCATGTAGCCAAGGACAACATAAAATATGGCGACAGAGCCTTCGTTGCATTGAAGAATAATCTCTTCAGGCTGGGAGTGCAGATCAGAGTCAGGAAATGGGGGAGAAACTCCCAGCCACATGACACAAATGAAAATTTGGATAACCGAACAAGAAAGGACGATGGAGTTGGCCAAACTCTTCCTCAACCATCTTCTCATTATGTTCCCTGGTTTTGAGGTCAGGAAGGCCAGCACCACCATGATAGTTTTGGCCAACACAGAAGACACGGCTACTGAGAAGACAATGCTGAACATTGTTTGTCGGAGAAGACAGGTGGCTTTTCTTGGTTGGCCAATGAAGAGAAAGGAGGACAAAAAGCAAAGCAGGAGGGAGATCAGGAGGATGAAGGAGAGCTGCTGGTTGTTGGCTTTGACGATGGGAGTTTCTAGGTATTGAAGGAATATGATGAAAACAAGGCCTGTGGTTAGAGACAAGAGTAGGGCAATGGAGATGAGGATGAAGCCCAGATGCTCCTCATAGGAGAGGAAGGTTATTCTTTTGGGAATACACTGGACTCGGTTCTCATTTGGATATTGAACATCCGGGCACTTGGTGCATTTTTCTGTATCTGAGAAAACAAAGTAATATTTCAAATTTCAAGAAAACCTTTGTATGAGATGTGATACTGAGAGATAGGAAAGCCTCAGTAAATTATACATACTTGCACTTACACTCCAGAAAAAAATCCCCAGTATATACAAAAAAACCCCAAGAACAACAAGAAAATAAAATTAAAAGAAAAAATATCTGGTGTCACAACTTCTGAGGTAATCCACTAGATTCTTATCTTGGACTGACATTACTTTGAGTTTGTTTTCTTTGTTAATTTTTAATTTTTTGTCAGATGATGGACATATGTTCGTTATCTGCAAACTCTTTTTAACCTATAAAAAGGAGAAGATGAAGCAATATATTTCCATATTCTCTAGATTTGGCAACAAATTTAAAGAGAGAATGAATTCAACACTGGTATCAATGGATATTTAGTAGATTGGTCTTTTATTAGTTCTCCTCCTCCCTTCTGTTCCTTTTAATCCCAACACTGTATATTAGACTTTTTTTCTTTCAGAACCATAACTATATTCCTTTATTTGTTGGTGTTATAAATGTTTGTATCTCACTATTTATCAACAAAGAAAATTGGAAAGATGAGAAAAGTTAGGAAGGAAACATCCACTTGATGATTTTATACTGAATCCTCTGTTTGGTTTTCATTTGTTCCTTGAACCCAACCTCTCTCCCTCCGTTGTTCTTCCCAATTAGATATTTCAGCTGATAAAGACTTATAATCTTGATAACAATTAACTGATTAATTGAAGGATTCATTGATGTATCTTTTGGCCTTCAATGTAAAATTGGTTTACGTGAGCAAAGAGCATTGATCTAAAATCATTCCTCAAGTTATAAAGAATACAGACGTTTCTAAGAAATCCACACTGGCAAATAAAAGAGAGATTTCCTATGCAATCTACAACATCCTTCTTTCTACCTCATCTTCAAGATATTTTTCTTATAATCCCATTTAGGGAAGAAATTGGACACCATGAAAATTGAGAACTAAACAATCAAATTTACATGTGTCTTTAACATGCATATTGATCAAAGTTTCCTTGTGCTGTCACCCACCTTCCTGAGTAGAGATGGTCCCCTCTGGACAAGGAATGCAGCCGTAGCAGCAAACTGGCTCTCCTTCTCGAGCCTGCTTGACAAATCCAGGAAGGCATTTTTCCACACATTTAGACTGAGGCAGAGACTAAACAGAAAAAGAAGAAATGCCACAGAAAATATGTTAGGACTCACCATCCATGTAAGATGGAGGTAGACATGAACATCAGCCAAGTCGTCTCTGGGCTTCATGTAGGCAAATATGAAATCTCTGACCACTTCCACATGGTTGCAGGAGATACAATTGCAGGAAGATGCTTCATTCAGTTCGTCCCTTTTTCTTCTGACATATCAGATTACAAAAAAGTAGCTTTCTACTTAACAAAGTCTGGAGGGATGAAATTGAGAAAAGATTTAAACATTAAGTGACAACCAGTAGTTCCTCCTCATAGTGGAATTAACATGCATTCCTCCATTCTTCATAAATGCTTGATTTTAAAATATCCACAAATGCTAAATTTTAGAATGAACTTTATTGTAATATTTATATCAAATTTTTATTTCATTGGATCTATTAAACTATAATAAACTGTGAGAAAGAAAGAAACTTTTGACCAGTAGGATCTGGAAAGTTTCTTCTGGAGTACATAAAACATTGCAAAATTGCTTCCCTTTGAAAGCAGTCCAAAATTATCTCTGGTTAAGATAAAAAGGGAAATTTCCTCACAAAAAAGGGCTGTCAACCTTAAAGATGCCTTTATTTGTTCAATTTATATGGCTGCCATGCCAGTGAACTAAAACTAAAACCAACTGACTAATTTCTAAAACTATAATGAGGTGAGATGGAGGTGAGGTCATGAGAACGTGTCCCTCAAAAAGGCTGAGTCAGGCATCTTTTGGTGCACCACATGGGTCATGATTGTGAGCCCTGTGTGGGAAATGGATACTCAACACAATGTATTCAACACAAGGTCCTTTCTGTTGAAAGAATACAATTAGGTGACACAATTTGACAGGGAAATACACACCCATATTTATTATTAGTTTGCTCAGCATGTCCTAGGTAGCTAACAATCAAGATAAACAGTGCATTCAAGGGATTTTCAGATGAAGGGCACTGTTACAAGCCAGTGCCCAAACCTATGCAATATTAGTTTCTCCTGCTTGAATAGGTTCTCCTGCTTAAGCAGGGGGCTGGATTAGAAGACTTCCAAGGTCCCTTACAGCTCTCTTCTCTTCTATTCTATTCCCCTTATTATTTCTGATATCAAGATTTTTTTTTTTTGCACCAAAGTCACGTTTCAGTACTTCAGTTTTCAAGTCATTATCATGATGAGATGGGTAGCAAATAAATTTAATCAATCAATTCATAAATGTGCTCACATCAGACCAGTCATTATTATTTTATGTGAATTGAAAGCCTTGGATCTCCTTCCTAAATTCCACTATCCCAGTGTGGGTTAAAGAGAGGCAGGTGTAACTGTGGACTCAGCTGATTAGAAACATCCCAGACTATGAACCTGCAATTTTGGGAGACCCTTGACTCCAACCAGGACAAAGATGAACCTTATTTCCAAATTGGACCAAGAGGACATCCATCCACTCTGGATTCCCTTTCCTCAGATTCAGTCCAAATCTGAACTCAAGGACTGGTCAACAGAATTGCCTTCATCTTTGATATTTGAAGACAAAAAACTAGTGAACCTGAAGCAATTAACACCAAAATCTCCAGCCTATGAGGCCCTGTCTCACCAGTTTTATGGTGGTACTAAACTGCCAAGGGACACTAAATGGCAATGATTTGTGTCCTAAATAATAATCACCCCATATCTCATTTTGGATCAGCTTACAACAGGGTTCAGCATGACAGCATCAGAAGGGAAACCTTGGTCAATAGAACTGAAGCTTGCTTATCTGCCTAAGAAAGTTATAGGGGTTTTACTCCACACATTCAATTCTCAGTGAAAGTTACTCACTTTTTTGATTGGGTTTAGCCCACTTGAAACAACTTTGGAAAATAGAAAATAGATCAAAATTTTCCCCACCTTGTTGAGCAACTTTAACTGTGACAAAGCATCTTGGTTGATTGTAAGTCTCTGTCTTTCAAAAATCCCCAATTGCTTGTTGATGGGATCCTCCTTGGGAAGAACCACCCTACTCAAGATCTGCTACTACGTTTTCATTCTGATCCAAGTACACTTTCAGCAGGGAAAGATTGTACAATTCCCTCTTCTTTAGAAATGGATGGAACTAGAATGGAAACATCCAGGAATTTAAAAGCAGAAATCTTGGTTCCTTATCTCTTTTTACATTTGAATCTTTCTTCTATGGTTGTTTAACTTGCAAATACTGTGATTTGGGAGAAATAGTTTTACCATTATCTTCAAAACTGAAGTACAAATATTAAGCAATATTTCTAAAGCATGTAGTATATGCAGGGCTTTTTTTCTCATAGAACGCCCAGAATGGAGTTCCGGCACCTTTTTTGGATGGAACCTTGTAGGGTAGGCAAGGCGGGTTGTATGACATGTGTGAGTTCCGGCACCTTTTTTTTTTTTTAGAAAAAAAGCACTGAGTATACTAATAAAATGTAGCAATGATCAAGAATCAAGTAAACAAAATACACAAATAACTACAGTATGCATAAACTCTTTGCAAACAATAGGGTGATTACTAGAAAGCAAGGATTTGTTAAGAAGGAAGTTGCAAGGCTAATCTTCATTCAGGTAGAGGAGATAGGAAAAATGACCAGAGGAAGTAATTCTACTTTATTGTAAAGCTATATTAACAAAATCTTGCAATGTGAAAGTATAAATCTTTCACTATCTCTTTTGACAGTCATGTATCACCTATTTCTTCTTTTCTTTAGACTGGTCAAACCCAACTTCCGCAGCTGTTCTTCATACATTTTGGTCTCCAAGCCTTTGATAATCTTAGTTGCTCTTCTCTGAATTTTTTCAAGACTCTCAACATCTTTTTTGTGGTATGGTGACCAAACTTGGCTGCAGTATTCGAGGTGTGGTCTTATTAGGGCTTTATAAAGTGATACTAGTACTTTGCATGATCTTGAATCTATGCCTCTGTTTATACAACCCAGGATTGTATCAGCTTTTTTGGTTGCTGCTGCACACTGCTGGCTCATAGTTAAGTGATCGTCCACCAAGGTCCCTATCACAGTTGCTGTTCCCAAGTCAGGTCTTGCCCAATCTGTATTTGTGTCAACGCTGCTAATATTGAATATTCTTGCTTTGACAAAATATGCAGATGAGAATAGGAGTGGAGAGAAAAGCATGCGGAAGGGAACGGAAGTGAATCTTTGCCCTCCAAGTTAATTGGAAGATGTGAATCATGACGCCAAAATAGGGGAGGGGAAATGCCTGGAATGTCATGTGCAAAGGACGGGAAATTCAGATCTTAGCATTCCTCCATGCCGTGCTGACACTCCTTTACACTAATAAAGGCTTTTTAGGTTAAACAATGCCTGAAAGTTCTTTGAAGTGTTTCATTAGTCAGACACATGACAATTTGTTCCTTTGGTTTTTCCTGCCTAAAGGTAAGACTTTGCTTTTCTCCACATTGAAACTCATTGTGTTGGATAGAGCCCATAGTCAAGTTTGTCAAGATCTTTTTGGAGCCTGAGTTTGTCTTCTGGGATGTTGGCTACTCCTGACAGTTTGGTGTCATCTGAGAATTTGATGAGTTCCCCTTCAATTCCCTCATCTAAATTGTTTATAAAGGTATTAAAGAGTACTGGGCCTAAGACAGAACCTTGTGATACCCCACTGCTTACTTCTCTCCATGTGGATGTAGTGCCATTTAGGACTACTCGTTTTGTACGGTTTGTCAGCCAGCTACAGATCCATCTGGTGGTGATGTTGTCTATTCCACCTTTTTTTAGCTTTCCAAGGAGTAGTTGTGTTCTATTTTGTCAAATGCCTTACTGAAATCTAGGTATACTATGTCCACTGCATTTCACTGGTCTACTAGTTTAGTCACTTTATCAAAGAATGAGATCAGATTGGTCTGGCATAATCTGTTTTTAACAAACCATGCTGGCTGCTAGTTATCACTTTGTTTGCTTCTAGTTGTTCGCAGATCTATTTTTTGATTATCTTTTCTAGGATCTTCCCAGGTATTGATATTAAACTGATTGATCTGTAGTTTCCTGGGTCCATTTTTTCCCCTTTCTTGAAGACAGGGACCACATCCTTTCTTTTTTTTCCTTTTTTTTTAGGGGGGCTGAAGTCTAGGGTGCTTTTCTGTTTGTTTCAAGTGTGGTTGTTGGTGTGGCTTTTTTAGGAATATTTGAGGTGACTTTTTAAGGATTATTTTGTTCCTTTGCTAGGTGTCTGCATGTCTTCTTTGAGGGGGAGGTTGTGGGTCTGCGTGTTTCCTTCTAAGGGGAAAATTTGATTGCTCAGTTTTAATGGGGTTGTTTATGGTTGGGTAGGATTGGGCAGAAGAGGTTTGTTTGTTGCATGTTGTTTCTTTCTTTGAGTGTTATATTTCCTTTTCTGTGTGACATACCTCCATTTGTCTTCCTCCAAGGGTTTAGCGGTAGGGTTATTTGTTCATTGTTTGGTGCGATTTGGGTGGCACTTTCTTTTGTGCATTTGGGTTTGGCTAGTGTTGTGTTCTGGGGCTGATGGGGCAGCTCAGCAGGCCCAGAAATGTTGCAAAAGGTCCTGGGCAACCCAAAAGCTGCCCGGGACCAGACTGGTTGGCACCGGCCTTGCGTGTATGCACAAGGCATGAATAAAGGAGATGTATGATAGGTTGTTTGGAAGACTATAAAAGGCCTGCAAGCCTGTTGGGTTACTGAGTGGTAACGTGGATCAAATAAAGAAGAACTTGGTTACAATGTGAGTGTGTGTCGCTTCAATGCCGCAAACCCCAAGATGTAAAAGCTAGAGTTGCTTCTAAGTTCCTAAACTTTTCCTGTAGTAGTTCACATAATTTGCATCTGATGCATGTGTAGTTTGGGTGTTCTTTGGGCATCAGTGCATACATGGAACATGTATTGCATATCACAATAGTTTCAGTCACCTGCTACATAAATTTGTTGTTTGGTAGTTGCTCTTTTTGGTTAGTGGTTGTGCTTTGCTGTTAGCTTTGTTTCCAGCTTCTCTGTTCTGTCCTTTTTTCTCCCTGTTTGTGCTACCTTATTATTTATTTAACCTTCTTACTATTGTGTTAGTTTTATTTATCCTTATTCTCCCCTCTATTTTTTTTAACTTTTTGACCT